TCCAACAGTGTCCTTGATAAATTTTGCTTGCCTTGCTCTTTATTAGACTTTCCAAGCCAACTTGGCAATCTCTTAAATCAGCCACAATCTTGGTTAAAAAGAGAATGTTTGGTAATGTTTCATTTAAATTCCCAGCCTGGTTTAACCTTATAGCTGAAGCTGATTATCTGACTGCAGAATGGTACTGTGTTCTTGTGCATGCATGCGTAGAGTGGAAGTGATGGCTGTGCAGTGAAAACAGAAAATGTAACGCTAACTAATAGTGACATGAGTTGGGAGAGGAGATAGCAACTTTGGCTCTAGCAGTGGTCTGTCTCTATACGGTAACTTTGGCTTTCATCAGTAAGGAGGATAATTAATACTGGTGATAATGAGCGGCTCTTCTGCATTTCTGGAAATGACTGTGACTCATCTGATTTAAATAGAAAACAAAAATGCGTCTTCTGGCTGGGCAACAGGTTGGCTAGCAAATTCAGGGCGAGAAACACCTGTGTTCCAGACATGAACAGTCCTGTCTCTCCACAGCAGAGCCATCTGTGCCACAGGTTGCTTGCCAGATTTTCCTGCAGAAGGAGTTTATCTATTAGAAAGATGATTCCACAGTGCAGTGTGGATATGTGCCACTTCGAGACAATCCACGCAGGAAAGATAATGCTGCCCATTCAGTGGCAGCATCTGTTCTTTGGCATACGCTTTGAATATGATCATTGCTAGTGACTTGCTGCTGAAATATTGGAAGCACCATCATGATTTAAATAGCAGGGTGTTTTTATGTGCTCTCTGCTGTTTCATAGCAGCATGTGAGCATCACCAATATCTCCATTCTTCTACTGGGTAAGCTGAGGTATAAGCGAAGTCTGTATTTATTTCCTGCCCACGGCTTTGTGTTGTATCAATGCCAAGGGCAGAAGTAGTAAAGAAGTTTTATGAATCCTGGTTTGGTATCTTTTCCATTAGAATGGTGCTGTTTTCCGAGAAGTTTATCACACAGATACCATACTGTTGGCATGGTCACCTAGTAAATGTAGAACTGCAGAATAATACTGGATCTCTGTCTCTTTTGGCCCTTCATTTAGAGGAGGTTCAATATAATTGTTTCATTGTTTATATTTGCAGATATTTGTGGCAAACAAAGCCATTTGATCCCATAATCTGGCTTCTGGGACTACACAGATTATACAGAATATCAAGCAATAACTCCAGTGTGTTTATAAATTCAGGTCAAGTGAAATTACTTTCTTGTTTTGAAAGGACAAATTCAACTTTGTTTGGCAATTCCTGCCTACCTTGTTCTTGTGTCAGAGAAGGATATATATGGATTTATGCTATAGAATTTAAGTTTTCTAAAAGGCTTTCATAGCCTAAGTAACTCTTCCCCCTGATATTTTGATGATGCATCAAGATCCCATTTACATGTGTGCCTTGTACTTCAATAATTTTGGCTCCAACTGGTTGGTTGCATCAAGTTCTTATTCCATTTGTCTGGATGTTGTGAGTAAATCTCAGAGTGAGTGAGCATCAGGAACTTTAGAACTAAGGGGTTAAAGTAAAAAGAAGTTATTTTATCATTTACATAAAACTAGGCATATTTGTAGCAGTTCAAATGATCTCGTTGCTTCTTAAATTGGTATTTAAAGTGCCAAAAAAATTCTAACATCTCTGATTAGATTGAATTTAATTTTCCTGATTTAGATATTAAATAGAAGCTGTAATTAGTATCTGATTCTCTTATGGAACTTTATTTTTAGGGTAAGGCTGTATTTTATTCATGTTTAAACTATTCTTCAAGTGTTTAGTAATACTGGTGTTTCGATAGTGTCTGAAGAATGGGGTTGCGGTGCTGAACACCCAAAATAGCTTAAACACTTAAAATACCATTTCTTTCCAGTCCGTGGTGTTCTAGAGCTCTAGACAAGAGACCCAACTTGCTGGTTGTGACAGTCTGACTTCCAAGACTGACCCTGTTGGATTATTTTTGTGGACTGTTTTGGTTATAAGCTGTTAAATGGCTATTTCTTTGTAATTTGAAGTATCTTGGTAATCTGGTGCCGGAGGAAGATGGCTATCTGTAATACTCTCTAGTTAGTGCATGTCTGCTGGGGAGACAAGCAGATTTTCTGTACCGTGGAGACTGAACTTTGTTTTCTTTATGCCACTGTTTGTGGTCAAAAATAAGTAGATCAAGGTGTGAGTGTCTAAGCCTCAGATCATCTTGATAGGGCTGCTGGAGTTCTGTGAAACCCAGAACGTCTCAGATGCCTTATTTTGCCATAACCTGAAGTCAAATGCAAAAATCTGTGTTTGTCAGAACCTGTATGTTGGGGCCCCCAAGTCCTCGAATGTATAGCTTAGTAAAAAGAGTATTCACTACACTTGGAAAAGAGGAAAGCTTGAATTTAGTTTTGGTACAGTTTTTCCGGCAAAGTCAGCATACAGATTTCTACCTCAGGTATTTCCAGCTTTTCCCTGAAGATCTGGACACTGGAGTATTCCTGCTAGGCTCTTTTTGGGCTGTGTAGCGTTCATCTGCCATGGTTGCTAGCCAGACCTTAGTTGCACTGATCTTATACTTTCACAGTCATAGGTCCCATGTTAAATCCACATGTGATATCTCCATAATCTTCTTAGGGGTATATCACACAGGTTTTTCTGTCATGTTGCGGATGCTTTGCTGGGGGTGGGGAGTCATAGAATTCTGCCCCTGCAGCTGGGACCTCCGGCCACGTTTGCCTCATGTTTGCAGGACTGACCACAGCTGAGTGCTGGTAGTACTGCGCTCTTGATGGCTAGCGGAGGGTGCTGGGGTCTACGCAGCTTCACAGGAAAATTTTAGAGGACTTCCTCACAATGTTTTTCCAAAAGGAGTGATTTTTGTGATTTCCCCTGGTCTTAAAATGAACTTTAGTTTCTCTAAAAGCTGTCACCTGTCAGTGTACCCCTATGAGAATGTAGCTACTGCAGTCCTGATAAAGTAAAACAACTACTACATGCTCCACTACAATATTCTCTGTGGTTTGTCTTGGGGTTACCCTGGGCTGTTATCACAATAGACCAGCATGGTGTCACTTGTATCACCTGCAAAATAGAACACCCTAAGGCCCAACCAAGAGCCCTACCCAGATAGAGATTATAGTTGTTCGTGTAACGTCTCTTCTAGCGCTTAGAGCCTTTCGTGGTCAGGCATCCGCTACAGTATTCCTTCAGTCTGATTTTTCCAGCCTTTTGCTGTTCTCTTGCATCACATGTGAACAGCATCTAAGGTGCTTCCAGTAACGTGAATGCTTTTGAGATTTTTCCATCCCATATTTACTCAACCCATGTTAACATTAAATAGAGCCCTCCCCACACCCCCTTCACCCATATAAGAAGGACAGGGAGTAGGAGAAGAGGATAGATGAGGATGAAAGATCTCAGAGTAGCCAAGCAGTTGTGAGAATCTAACAGGAAGCTTTCTCAAATATGTTTCATGAAGAAAGATGCATGATAAGCCTGTAGCCTCAGGTCTGACCATTCCCCTGGAAAACGAGTGATCGAGACAAGATAGAGCACCAGAGTTGTAGAGATGTAGGAGGAAAGCAAGACAGGAACTGCAATCTAGCAGGGATGGGATTGACCACCACACACCTAGGAGAGCCCAGATTTGGTATTCTAATGGGAGAAATACTTTTTTGGTGAGTTTTCAAGAAGTAATTTCTGAAGAAAGTTTTCTTTATGTTGCATTATTGGTTTCCTTTTTTTTTTTTTTTAATAACTAATGCCTGTGTCAGACAGTTTCTGGTTTGTTGGCTCTAAGACTATGTCTTGTTCCTCTAAATGAGATCAGATGGATGTGTGGGAGGCTGGCGTGCCAGCAGGGAAGGAAGGTTGTCTTGGTGAATGAGCCGCATCAGGGAACTGGAGATTTAGCTCCAGAAAGAAGATTCAGAAACTGCAGTAGTGAGTGAGGTCTCAGTGAGGCAGGAGGGATTTTCCTGAGGTTCTGCCCTGTTCTGACATGTGAAGTCATGGAATGATTTTAAATTTAGCCTCAAAGTTTGGGTTTTTTTTTTTGATAAAGCCATTCAAATGAGCAGGAAAGATAACAACAAAGAAGCTTTTTGCTCACTCTTGTGGAATTCACTACTGGAAAAGGCCTTCCAAAGACTTGGACCAGCTTGAGGTAGCATCACAATGTGAGAGTACCCAGGTATTCCAGTTTGGGAGAGGCATTAAAGGTATGACAAGATAGGTGGCGAACACAGTTTTAGCATTTTGCTGATCAATTCTTCCTTTCCAAGTCATTTTTAAAGAAGGATTTACTCAGACTGAGACAGAAAGCTCTGCTAGAGTGGTTTGCTATGGAAGAACTTGTTAAATTCAGCTGCCAGTGACGATATCGGATGAGAGCAGGCAGTACCATTGCAACTATATGTCTGGTTTCTGTTTTGTTTTTGAAGGAAATAAATAGCTGTGCAAATTATAACCAGATTAAGACTTTCTGATGAGTGCACAGCCCAAAGTTGACTTAGAAACTTTAAGCTACCTAGAGCTGCAGTGGATAACATAATCTTGAGTTCCATAAAAGAAAACAATCTGCCTTCCTACCTTCCTCCCTCTCGGTTGCTTTCTGACAACCCTGATTCAAAGGAAGCCTTGTGTGTTACAGTCATCATAACTTCACTGGTCTTTATGGACTTTAGCATGAAAGTCTGTTAAGAAAAATAAGAAACAAGTGTGATGATTGAATGACCAAATTAGGTAAGTTGCCAGAAGTATTTGTAGGTTTGTTTTCCAGTGGTTCTTTTGGACGGTAGCTGAAGTGTGGCCATTCTTTCTCCTCTTTTAGTACTTTGAGAAATGCCATGAGCATAGCTCAGGAAGAGCTCCAATGAATATTAAGTGAAAGTCCATAAGAATCTACCTGACGCTGAACAAAATGCTTCTGTGAGATGAACTTAACAGTTTTGTGTCTTTTTTTCCACTTACCAATAAACATCTTGTTTGGCTTTTGATTTTCCTAGATATCCGTGGAATACAGGAATTTTTGGACAAAGTATCTCAACAGGGGATGGATGTAGCATTGCAGAAAGTAGAAAACAATATCAATAAAATGATCACGGGACTCTTTGCCACTATGCGAATAGAAGAACTGAATCGCTACCGGGACACTCTGAGACGGGCTATTCTTGTCATGAACCCCTCAACAGCGAAATCATTCATAACAGAGGTAGGTGTTTTATCACCAGTAAATTCTTGTTTTGTTGAGCAAGACTGCAGCTGTTTGTCAAAAGATTCAGTTTATTTGACTTCATAAAATCAATCAAACAAAATAATACCACCCCAAAACCCCAACTGAAAATGTAAATATTCTCTCTTCCAAGATCATCGTGCAAGGATGTTTTTTCATGCTCAGAAATGTGCATACAGAACAGTATAACTACATTCTGCTTGAGCAAAAGCGTTTAGTTAATATGCGGAGGAACTAGTCTTCAAACTTTTGTTTGAAGCCCACGAATATTGTATTGCTATTTCCTTGCTCATTGTGTCCCTCACTAAAAAATCTTTACAACTGGCAAAAATATTATTATTACATATATATATATATATATATATAAAATATGTATTTTGGGACAAAATTTATTTACCAGATTGGCATTTCATTTTTAATATAAAATAATGTTCAATAATGACCTACTGTGTACCACGGAGGAGTAGTAAGGTAATGGAATTTATGAAGGATTGGATCTGAATGAAGAATTTAAGACGATAGGCTAAAGTTATGCTCCTGTATTTAAACAGAAGCTGCAAGCAATATGGACAGAATTTTCAAAAAGCTTTTCAGGATTTAGAGATGGAAGACTTGTATATCACACTCCACTATGACTTGTGTAATTTTTTAAATTAATAGCATGGTTCTTTTTACGCATCACTGTGCTGTTTCAAATGTGGGGTTTTTTTTGCGTGCTTGTATAATCATCATCAATCAATGGTTAAAAATATATATTTATTTTCTGCTGCATAGAAATACACTTTCTCTGTGCAATAATTTCTCTTTGGATCTATTTGTAACTTGTGTTACTTTTCCTTTATACTTTCCCATAGTCTATACCTTCAGAAATGGAGGCTTGGAAACTAACTGTATATACAGTCTCAAGTGAATGCCTTTTAGGAACATTAGTTGGAAGAGGGATTTTTCGTTTCTTTTTGATTATTTTTTTTGGGGGGTAGGCATTCTGCTGTCCGCATAACACATTGAAGCTTACTAATTCAGAGTAATGAGGGTTTGCTGTTCTATCCAAATTTCTGTAGTGCCTTATAAAATATAAACAATTTGTGGGAATGTTTTAGATTGTTCTGCACTGTTTTCATCACCCAAGTCACAAATGTTTTATTTTTCAGTAAGTGGCATTATAAGATATTTCACACTTCAACCTGAAAGCAGCAGGGTTCAGGGCTCTAACTACAATAACTCAGTGAGAAAAAAACTCCTGTATTGTTCCCAAAGATAAATACTCTTTTTTTTAAAAAAAATACACTTTATCATTTATTTTTACACACTCGAGCGTAGTAACAAAGCCATTGTTATCTTTTGAGGTTGCCATATATGTGTTGTAAAGAAAATAAGCTATTTTAGAGTTCTCACTTTGGCATTGGCCGCTCAACCCACCAAACCAACAAAAAACCCCTAAACCAAACCTGTAATCCTCCTCCTCCCCCCAAAACCAAACATGCAAAAAACCCCAACAACAAAAAACTCCCAATATTTCTCGGAGGCTGTAAGACTACCAGGAAAGGTCATTGTCTTTTGTGAGTGGGGTTCAAGGAAAGAGGCTCACATCAGGCAGAGTTACAGGTTTTGCCAGCAAAACAGCATTTATTTGGGGTATGATGTGTGACTGGTAAAACTGGCAGTAGGAGCAGCCTCTCCATAGGAAGAGTTACTCAAACAGAAGCATGTTTTATTTAATAAAGCCATACTTTATTTCCGTTGTTGGGAGGGAATGAACTACACCACAACTGCACTCCAACACTCAGTGTCTGTGCAAGGAGAGATTTGCTGGGTTAGCTTTGCCAACGGATATTAAAAACTGTTATTTTGCAGTTGAACCAGCAGCTGTATTGGTATGGGCAAACAAGTTATAAAGCCCATGGACTGCCAATGGGTTAAGATATTCCTAAATAATTCCAGTGTGGACAGGCTTATTCCAAAGACTGCACCTCATGCTTGATCAGTTTAACTTGGAAATTTGGTTTAACCTGGTGGACTTAGCATGTAAATCTTATGAAGTTAGTAAGAAACAACTGCATATGTAGACAAGCCCTTGGGGTCTTTTTTAATGGCTTTTCTGCCCAGGAGAGGCTTTTGGCTGCCTAGTTGGATTCAGCTGTCAGTCTCTCTCCCCAGACCTCACATAGTCTCTGCTGCTTGGTCCCTTCTTAGACAAGTGATTTGGCTGAAGCCCCTCATTGTTTGCTGGAGAAGAGGGTTCATTCTCTCTGCAACAGCTGTACTAAGTGTGTGCTTGATTACTATGCAAGTAACAACTTGTCCAGGGTAAACAGTCAGACACTGGCCTATGTAAATAGGCAGTCTGGAAATTGGAGATTCCTTGTGGTAGGATTTATCTGTGTTCTGACTCTTTGAAATTTTCATTTTTAAGAAAGAAGATTCTGGCTTTCAATTAATTTATTTTTTTTTTAAAAAGCGGCATTACTTCATAATGTTAGATACCTTCTTTCTCTTCAGCTTTTGTATCTCCAGAGCTTGCAGAGATGAGATCTATGCCTATATACTCAAGAAAACTGAGATTAAGATGCAAATCTACTGTTCTGGCTATGGAGATAAACCCCTATCTTTTCTCTAACCATTACATATTAATTTGCCCTCTGTAGGGCACGGCAAAGCAGGAAGACTTCGGAGTAGGTGTCGCAGCATCTCTCTGTACTGGCTAAAGGATAATTGTAAAGAGAGAGGGAGAGGCCAGCCGAATTCTATAATGTCCTTCATTGCTTTGTGCTGGAGATGCAGGGGCAGAAGGCAAAAAATTCTGCTGAAACAGTGACATTCAGTGGGGCTAAGGAGTGTGGAGGTATGGAGCTAGAGGAGATTGAGTCCTCTCCCCAGATCAGTTTGTGGCAGCACCTGGTAAAATCCTTTGCCAGGGATATACTGGTGACTTGTTCAGGTTTTTTTTCAGTAGAGTAAGGTCTTTCTGTAACCTCAAATAATCACCCGGGTCCCACACGTGGCACAAAATATTGCTTTTTGAACTTTTGTGACTACTGAAAAGCACCTCAGAACCAACCACTTTGCACAAAAATTGCTGTGTTATCTGACAGCACTGGTGACTGATGTGAACTGTGTGCCGCTTGTTTGCTTTTTATTTTGGGGTGGAGTTTTCCTTCTGATCTGTGATGAACTTGCAGGATGTGAAAAGCCATATTGGGGAAAAGGAATAGGATGGCCTTGCCAGCTCAGCATGTGAAGCATCTGTCAAGTGGCAGAAAACTAAAGTAGAAAAAAGAGGACAAAAAAAATCACCTGGTGCTTTAGCAAAAGAACCAGGGCTCTTTGGGCCGAGAAAGTCTCTATCACTGTGTCAGCTTTGGCAGGAAGGCATCTCAAAACAGTAGGAAATGTTTAGGAAAGGGAAGAGAGAAACCACCCCTGTGTTGAGCCCAGCTTGCAAAGTGAGGACTTCTAAAGCCAAGTGTGAGAAGGCTGGGTAGGAGGAGGAGCAGGCACAGGCCAGGAAACTCAGGTTACAGCAGAGGTTCTGGTATAACAAAGAAACTTTGAGAAGCAAGGTTTTAGGAAGCAAAGCAGATGCCCTCAGTGGGGCCAAAATGCCGTCAGTACATCTCTGCTTACAACTTTATTTCTGTCTAGCTAAGGAAACTTTATCAACTGTGTGCAGAAATATGAATATGTTCCTCTGTCCAAAGACTCCAGGAGGTGATAACAAGACTACAAGGGAGGGATGATGCAGCTGATTCGGTTTTTTAGATATAGAGGAAAATTATGTTGACAAGTGGAGGATTTTACACACTGAAAATCCAGCAAGCCATGGGTGAAGGAGCCCTGGCATCAGCCAGGGATTTTGCTGGAGTTTTGACAGCCAAGCTCAGGAGGCCCTTGGTCTGGGAGCTGAGGACACTGACACCTCCAGCTGTCGGTTCTTCCCCTGGATGGAGGGATTACCACCCCAGCAGTAAACTTGGCAGATGTGACTGTGTACCTTGCTGCCCCTTGCTAGGTCCCTTCTCTTGGTTCTGTTGCAAGGGTAGTGACCTCTAACAGAAAGAGGTGAGAACACTTTTTAACTGCAGCAGCAAGATTCAGCAGTTAATCTAGCGAAAATTTCAGAGCGTTGGCAACGGGTATCAGCCAACAAAGCTGTTGTGGGGGCTTGACGATTTCAAGCCATCAATACAGTGAGCACTGGCAGTTCCCAGGATGGAGAGAGTACTGCCTATCAGCTCACTGTACACTATATGATTTGTGTAATTATAAAAAAGTATTAATTTTTCATTATTCCAAAAGCTCCACTCTACAATAAACTTGAAGCTACTGAGCCCCATAATGTCAGGACTTCAGGCATGCAAGTGATTATGCTAGAGATGTTGGAAATGTTTACTGTTAAACATATCTTTAAAGTTAAGCTTGCGTGCATCACAGAACTGGGTTGTAATTATTTAAAATGGGTATTCAACAAAACTAGCAGCTGCCAAATCTGAAAGTTGTGGCAATAAGTCCTGGATGTTGACCAGTGTGTATGCAGACGTGCTTATTGTACCAAACTTATAGGTACTGTTTTATTTGTGTATATTCATTTTCACAGAAAACTAAAATTATGTAGCTTTTCAGGCTTTAGTATGATCTACTACACATGATTTTTTGCAAATTAAAATGTATTTTTTCTACCCCAGGCTGATGTGGGATAGTACTAAAATAACATTACCTTGGATGAAGACAAGCTATGCTACTACTTTCATAAATAACAGAACTCTTTATAAATGAAATGTTAAAATAGGTAGGGAAAATAGAATAAACCATATAAATGAAGTACTGAAGACTTCTTGCCATGTTGTGGGCAAGAGAAAAAGAAAAGTGAAAGGAGGAAATGTAATTTAAAAATGCCTTATGTTATTGAACCTTCACCATGTTTTTTGTAGTGGTTACTGTGAAAAGAATGAGAAGTAACATTTATTCTGTGAAATAAGATT